GTTAATGAATGCTGTTGTTAATCAGTATATTTTGATGTGCCTGGATCGATCAAGTTCAAACATACATCAGCTTATTCAAGTATATACATCCCACATCTATAATACAAACAGGGACTATGTCATCGACAATAACTTGTTGATTTTACACTAGCCACACTTAAAACAATAATGCTAAGTAATTGTGGCCCATAACATCAATGTAATTGCTTTAAAATGGTTAGGTATACATGTACCCATGTGCATTATCGGCAGTAATACATTTCACTTGGACACAATGATAAACAACATGCACCACTGTCTTGTGGTAAATGATAATGATCTTTTATCTATGTCAATTTCAGTAGCGAAGATGAAGCAGAAGAGGCTGACAGGTATCAATTCCGAAACAAAGAAGAAACAGTTACATCAGAGATTTCAACAACCACCAAAACAGAAAAACATACCAAAAAAACCAAACTCAAGAAAGTTGATTTAGGTGCTGCCAGTACATATGGGACCGGAGCTAACAATAAACCTACAGAGGTGAGTTTTAAATCTTTGTAAAATATGGTTGAAATGTGACGTCAATTTTTCTGCCAAAAATCTGATGTTGTCACAAACTACTATTAAAAACGTTACATGTAGGTGTGCTGAAGAAAAACCTTCATGTTTTTTACGACTTCGACTGAAAAGAATATGCTCATGATTTAGTTTTGATCATTTTACTGAATATATAGGAAACCTACCGTCTTTAGCATGTTTGTAGTAATTTAGTCATACCTAGAAAGCAAATGCTGATAAAAAAAAATCAAGATGCGATCAGTCTAGCTTACAGTGTTACGAACATCCTGTTCAATTCTAAGGTCATTCGAGTGAGTGTAAGTGTCAAAAAAAGCACAATAGCGAAATTGGCCATCAGGTGAACCCATAGACCGACATTGGTACGACATATGCACTACTGTATCTACCAATTTCTAAGCTTTCAGATGATATATAGGTTGTTATAGTAGCATACTGTGGAACTTTTAGAGACATCTAACACAAAGACCGATTTTTAACATGTTACTATCTTCATGGTGCAGTAATGGATATGATTTGTACATCTCTTTTCCACAGGAACAATGTGCAGGTCTCACTTTGATTATTATTTGATTTCAGGATACTTCAGCGAATTCCACAGATAATAGTTATTCTTTGATAGACACAGACTTGCCGAGTCCGGTGCAATTAACGACACAAAATACTCAAGATGCATTCGCAGATTTCAGTTCAGCTGCAGCCGCAAGTACCTTGAATGATCCAGCAAATGCACAGACTTCTACAGCACTCTCATCAAGCAGTGCAAATGGTGATTTTGGTGATTTCTCTGTTTTCCAATCGGCTTCTTCCCCAACAAGTAAAACCTCAGATGTCGGGTATGTAAATGCATTGCAGTTTAAGATATTTTTTTTTTTGGAGTATTGTCCTTAAGCTGTATCCGTTCAGTAAACCTGTATCTTAAATTTTACTGCGCTTGTTGTATTTTGAAAACAACTGCTTGGATAGCTTAAACATTTTCACTCATTTGATTAAACAGCAGCTCCAGGTATATGAAAGGAAAGATGGCGAACGGATTTCAGTTTGTTAATCGCCCTCCACGATGATGTACCTCGTCAGAGAGCTCCGTGAGATGGCTGTTATTGATAATCAGAATTTATTTTTCCGTCTTTTACAATTGTGATGTTAGTTTACTTAGTTGAGCAGGATTAAGCAAAATTCTTGTCGAAAAGTTAAGAAGGCATGTTTTAAACAGCCATATGCAATGCAAGTCTTCAAGATGACTAACAGTCACGTTTATTCAACCACATCCAAGTGTTAATCCAAACTGTTTGTGAGTTTACACGTCTTTTCAAAGTAGACAATATTCTATGTAAGATATTAACACATAAGATAAACCCAACCAGTAACGATTATTTATGTAAAGCGATGAGCAAGTCATTCAAATTACATTCCCCTAATGCAACTGTGCACTCGCCGAGATTGCAGAACTGTCTAAATTTCCTTTTTTTACTTGTTTTTCAGGGATGGAACGTTTGGGGATTTTCAAACCACAACATTTTTAGCAGCTACAAATTCCAAGTCTAGTAGTAACAGTAGTTTACTTATGGGTGTAGCCACGCAAGGAACGATGATGACGCCATCACAACAACCAATGCCAGCACCAGCCCCACAGCAACAGCAGCAGCAGCAGCAGCAGCAGCAACAGCAGATGCAGCAACAACCTGCTGTATCAATGCTGCAACAAACTCCTTTGATGCCTATGTCCTCCATGCAGTCAACACCACCTTTACAGCAGGTACGTTTATTTATTTATGTTATAACTAATGCAAGGCAAACTGCAGTGGATAAATTCTTTAGTGTTTGCACATGTAGTCCTTGTCAAGTTGTCATATACAAATGTATTCTCTTATATGGGTGTAACATCATCTTCGCAAACCAAGGTTCATTTTTTCGATCGTCGCCTCACCGTTATAACTTGGCAGAATTCTCGCTATAAACCTCTATTCACTGTTGATGAAGTAAAACATGACATCTTGTGCACTTTTGTATTTCCATGGTAAATGAAGTTAGCTGTTGTGACGTGTTGACACAATTTATTGGTTTAAATTTGAAATTGATGTGAGTTGTTGTTAGAGGAATGCTGATTGATGGATCTAGCCCAATGGTGCACCCAATCAAATCATTCAATTTAAATGAAGTCAAATGCAGCTTTTTCCTAACATGATCACGCATGGGTTCGTAGGGATACCATGGATTTGTAAATCAAATTCAATTATATTAAGGAATCTTGTAGAATCTTTGATATGATTGATTTTTGCATGTGTACAGTTATCATACTGGCTTAAGGTATTGGTAATAGCAAGGATTTCTAAATGAGGGCACGCAACTTTCAAAATCATAAGCGATCATGTGCGACGAAAATCTTCCGATATGCGAATTCATGCTTTGCACGCTGTTGAAAGCAAACTCATTCTGTGCTCGTCAATCGAACAAATTTCTAACCAATAGCATTAAAGATTTGATGGTGTGAACAGAAATAAGCGAGATTATCGCGGTATTCAAACACAGAAAACTCATTTAACCTATCATCATCTCAGCCTTTCACGCCACTGCTGGCGGGTGGCCTCCACAACATTTTCATTATGTTGTGGGATTGAACTGTGACTCACCACGCTGGTTCAATGCTTTGAAAATAAGCGAAATGACCATCAAAGACAATCTGAGATGAACGGTACTCAGTTCATTCAGTCTCCCTAATTTGCATAAGAGCATCTGGAAATATAGGTTTGTCTTCATAGCATTTAATATTACCGTACTTGCATTTCCTCATCATATAACGTTTTTTGTAAATAAGTGTTCATTCTACAGCATTTCAAAAGTGGTCACTATCTTGGGATTTCTTTGCAATCAAATAATATACAACCAAGAATAAATTAACATCAAAATGGATTTGATTAAAACGATTTTCATATGCAAATTAATCATGACACTTGGATATTTTCTTTGGAAAAAGACTGAATAGAAATGGATGTATTGCTAAGGGAAAATAATTTTAGTATTTGTAGAGATTAAGTATGAAGGTGTGGTAATGCTATGGTATGCTGTAAAATTCCCCCAGAATTGGAACTTACTCGAATAATGTGTATTGTGAAAATAACATTAAATCTTCATTTAATTTGTTTGAAATGTGCATGTTTGACATTTGTGGTTGTTGATAATGATCACTTTGAAGCAAAGGGATCTGTCGGAAATTGACTGTCAGTATCTGAGTTGTGCATTGCTCGTTGAACAGTAGATGTGTAGAAGTTTTGTCTCTTTATCATGTGTTACTACTAAACAAACGTTTTGTCTCACAGCCATGCATTTTTCTCAGTTTGAGACAGTTGCTGTTTTGCAAGTATCTTTTGCTATTGTACACAGTATAATATGATAAATATTTGCTTGCTTTGCTTGCTTGCATCTTGTAATTTTTCTAGCCTCCTATGACTTCGTCGCCTTTTATGGAACAGTACATGATGCCGCCATGCCATGATCCTATGGCACAAATGTTTATCTCGCCCCACTCCATGGTATGTACATGGGTAACGTAACTTGCATGATGACGGTGTTCAATCGGGAGTAAAGGTTTTACCCGTTCCATCTCATTTAATGAATTATGCATGTGAAATATACTTGGTGAATCAAATTATATTACTGTAAAGTACTTTATTTTCGCTTGGAAATTATTTTTGCTGCAGGGATAATTCAGTGAAAATAAAATCAAGCGAATATACATTTTTTTCTATATTTTACATTTAAATCATCAAGAATCAGTGAAAATAAATTCTACACAAAACACCCAAAAAGTCTTTTCAGCGAAAATTAATTCCAGCTAAAATAAAGTATTTTACAGTATACTATACTATGGACAAATAATAAATTATTAATACATAGACTAAGGCTGAGTTTTACGCAGGATCAGTGTCATTTAGAGTTCTTTGAAGTGACCAGTAAATGTTTAACCAAGATGTCAAAAACAGTGAAGCAAAACACAATACCCAAATGGGACATTTAAATTGCACTTCTGCTTAATTCAGTCTTGTTCTATGAATATAATTTAATCAAAGTATTTAAGTTATGTAAAAATGTATTATTTTTTTACTTTAATAATTAATAATTTATTTAGCTCTCCTGTCCCTAGTAAACACAAAGTGCGTTTTTGATTTAGTGGAATCACAGTACATGCCCCCATTGCTTTGAAATCTAATTCAAAATGGCCTCCTAGCATTCCTTTTTTGGTCGCAACAATCCTGCTTAGTGTTTCTGTAAATTTATGGCAGGCTTTCTGTTATAGTGATTATTTTATTTTTAAATCTGAGCAAGTAATTGCATTTTGTACATTGGGTATTAATATAGACAATGAAGAAACAAAGAATATCTTTTGATCTTAAATGATCAGTTACGCAGGTTTTCACCGCCTTCTCTTCCTCATTCTCCAATCTTCACTGTGCTGCCTTCTTCCATCTCCCTTACTGTTGTCTTCCCAGTGCAATCTGAAGTTGAAGTTAACTTTTTGAAATCTAAAATGTCAAATTTAAATTTTTATTGTATTATATATTTACATTTCAGCTGAGCTTTTAATATGTTGTATTTTGTAATAGTTTTGTATTTTTTGTTTCTTTCCTATCAACATTTTTTTCAGGACTATGTTTACGTGACTAGTGACAATGTAAATATTTATGTAATATTTAGCATGTCTTCATTTTTACTTATCAAACTTGTTATCGAGTATTAATAATCAAGTTGAGATGACTTTCTCTGGAAACGATATGAGGGCGCTCATTCATTTTCTTGCAAGTGTTTTTCAAGGGTGCTCATGAAATTTCTTGGCATGTCTCTAGAGGGGGCTCATTCAGTTTCCCTGAATACTTTTTCTCTAAAGGGTGCTCAAATAAATTTTTCTTGGAAACATCTCTATAATGGGCTCATTATCTTTCAAAGAAACGTCTTTCAGCTCATTCACTTTCATGGAAATTTCTAATGAAATAGGTTCATATTCACTTTCTTTACAAATGTCTAGTTTGGGGCTCATTCACATTCTTGCAAACATCTTGAGGAGGTCATTCATTTCTTGCATATTTTTTTTAGAGAAGGCTTATCTTTTTCTGC